TCCTGGAACTCCATCTCAGATATCCCCCGCCTCTGCCTTCAGAGTGCTGGGATTAAAAGAGTGAGCCACCATCCCCAACATGGTTTTAGTTTGTAGCCCAGCTTGGCCTTGATCGTACTCCTGGGCTCTGTTTTCAGAGTTCTGAGATGATAGGCCTGAGGTTTACCACAGAGCCTGCTTCTCTACCCCTCCTCCCGAGCCATCGTGACTCAGGTCTGTCCTGGTGGGGGTGAGGGATTCACCTCCCAGTTCTTCAAAGGCATGAGGCCTGTGTGTACAGCTGCCTCAGTTTCCTCCACTCACTGCCCTCTCAGACAACTTTCTGTGCTGTGCTGATCACTCAACAGCACAGGAAGTCTGTCACAGGCCCGCAGGACCGTGGGTGGGGACAATCTTTAGGTCTTCACGCAGAAGCAGAGGTGGAAAGTCCGTCTTTCCGGTGGGGTCCTCAGCCACAGACCTTGCTCCCCAAAAGTAGGTCAGCACTTCCACAGGTGCTGTGCCAGAAGGCAGCCCACTCCTTCCTCACACAGGGCCTGTCACCACACTGGAGGCCTCACCCAGACAGTAACTGAGTGCCTGCCCTGTGTAGCTCTGGATGGCTCAGGCTCTCCCTGTCCGGAATATCCTGGGTGAGGTCCCTGCCTAGCCCTGGTGACCTAAGGGCAGCAACCCATGTCCTGTATCAGTATCTGGTATCATGGTGTTTCTAGTCCTATTTATGGCAAAAGAACTGGCCTCATCCCTGCGACCCAAAGAGTACTATACAAAACAGAAAGTGAGGAAGCTTTGAAAATGAGAGCCAGCAAAGCTGAGCGAGCACGCTTTAATCCCAGCGCTTGGGAGGCAGAGGCAGAGCTGGAGGCCAGTCTGGTCTACAGAGGGAGTCCCAGGATAGCCAGGACTAGACAGATTTTTTTTTTTTAAGGCTTACTACAGAACACTATTTTTTTTTTTTTTTTCATTTGTTGTCTTTTGAAACAGGAACTCCCATAGCCCAAGCTGCCCTCAAACTGTCCAGCTGAGGCTGGCTCTTGACTCCTGTTGACAGGAGTGCCCCACGCTTGGCTTAGAAAGGGCTTCAGGAAGGCGTTGCTCCCTTCTGACTGGCAAGATGGCAGCAAGACTGAGCTCGTGCCTCAGGACCCACATGATAAAAAGGCAGAAGCAACCAGCTGTCACAAGTTGTCCCTGACCCCCACGAATGGGCTGTGCCCAAACACTCACACATCCAATAGATGGATAAATGTAGTGTTTAAGAAAATCTGCTGTGAGAGAGCCTAGAGACAAGATGGCCTACTGCTCCTACACACGCAAAGCCTTGTGAGAGGATAGGATGGGCCAAACAGCAGAATCAAACAAGTGGACAGGTCTAATTCAGCCTAACTGGGGCCTGGGTACCCAGCAGGTGCACTTTAACCCACGTCTGTGCTGCCACAGGTTGGTGTGGAAGATTATCTCCCTGCGCGAGTCCTTTCTGCTAACTCCTGACAGTCACCAACAAACTTTTGTGGGAGACACTTGCCGGCGGGGAAGCTGAAGGTGCTCTTCATTTCCTCATTTTAGAAAGGTTTTATGAGGCTGGAGGGAGCTGGCGGCAACCCAGAAAACAGGACGTGGGTCCCTCGGAGCGGCTGTGCCACCACCTGCGGTCGCGCCCGGCGCCGGCGGAAGCAGCAGCCGGGAGGGGCTGGAAGCAGCGGTCTTCCCAGTAACCCGACTCCCAGGAATGTGTCCCCCCTCCCGGGCCCTGCCACCTGGGGACGGTGCCCGCAAGCTCAGCCCCAAGCCCCCAGGGGCAGTCCCCTGTCTCAGCCCCTCCCAGGGGCCCCTTCGGGTCTTCCCGGTTTATGAAGCCAATGATTGCTTTCTGCCTGAAAACTCAGCAGACACGTCAAATTTATCTTCGCCCTGCAGAAGGGCCCAAGAACCTGGGGACTTGAACCCAGGCCCAGGAGACTTCAGGTTCAGTGTCCAGCTGTGGCGCTCTGGGCTGGTCACTGCCCCAGACACTGCCCAGGGAAGACAGAAGTGAAAACAGTCCTGAGTGGGCGCTGTAACTGCCAGTGCCCGGACTCCAGCCAACCCAACACCCGGAGACTTCCTGATCTCCTCCCCTTACTGAGGTTTTGAAGGTTGGGTAGAAAAATTTTCGAGAAGCTAAGGGCACTCCAAGACGGGCTGTTTAATTTTCTCCAAACAATAATCAAACAATGACTGATGGAGTGATGAGGTCGCTCTGCGGCCGCCAATCTGAGGTGAGGGTCTGACTTCCTTCACAGGGTCCACACGGGAGGAAGAGACTTGACAGCTATGGTTATTCTCGAGCCGCTCAGCAAGCTCTACCCCCACAGAAATGAAAAAGAAAAAGAAATTAGCCCAACCAGGCGGTGGTGACACACGCTTTTCATTTCAGCACTCGGGAGGCAAAGGCAGGCAGATTTCTGAGTTCGAGGCCAGCCTGGTCTACAGAGTGAGTTGCAGGACAGCCAGGACTACACAGAGAGACCCTGTCTCAAAAAACAAACAAACCAAAATAATCAGGTCTTACTATTTTATCATATTCTCCCTGTAACTACAGAATGTTCTCCGTTGGAATCCGAGTCTCAGAGGTCAAACTCGATTTGGTCTGTAAGCCTGCCTAGAGAAAGGTCTCCAACCAGCTCAAGCGAGCACGGTCTCCGGAGCGCTAGACCATCCCCCAGCCGCCAAGGCCAAGGCCCAAGGTCAGGGCGGGGCCTCCCTCGCCTCCGCCAGCTCTGCACCGGCCCCGGGGAGAGGCGGGCCTGGCGCCCCGGGCCTGCTGGCTGCCTGCCAGCGCAGGCTGCCTCAACCCTCTGCGGGGGCCCAGGCTGGGATCTGGCCCTCGCAGCCCAAAACCCTGGTGTGTGGTGCGGGGAGGAGTCCACTCCATCTTTCTGGATGATCCCTTGGCTACAAAAGGGAATAAAACCTGGGTGTGGGGCTCCCTGAGGCCACAACTGTGCCAGGCTAGTGTGTGGGGGATGGGACCGGGCACCTCAGCAAAGGCTTTGAGGGGCTAAGGAGCGCTACCTGCAACCAGCTGTTTCCAGTGGTCCGTGGGTCAGATAGGGTTCATGGGAGGGTGGCAGGAGGCCTGCCTTGAGTGTGCTGGGACCTGTCCCTCCCACTGCTCCCACGGCCTTCTCCAGCAGGCCAAACCCGGCCCATCAGGCCTGGCGGGCACGATGTACTAATTAAGGGGGTAATTACCAGCCAGGATTCTTACTCCCCAGCTCCACCCTGGGACCCACCTCAGGCCCAGGCAGTCAGGAGTAAGAACTTGAGCCACCATGGCTGTCCAGGGGTTTGGCACCCAGTTCCATCATTGGGGAATGCTCAGGTAAAACAGGTGTGAGGTACATACCTGTCTCCACTCAGGAGGTGGAGGCAGGAGGATCAGTTCTGAAATCTAGCCTGAGCTACAGGAGATTGTCTCAAAACAAAAAAACGCAAGTTCACCCTCAAACTTTCATGCCATTGCCACTAGTTGGAAGTCAGCCTGGGTCACCTTTTGCATGGTGGCTTTAACCCCAGCACTCAGCAGGTCCATATCTCTATAAATCCCAGGCCAGCCTGGCCTGTAAAGGGAGGCCCTCTCTCAAAACACAAAAGAAAACTCAAACAGCCAACCCAAGACCCAAATCTCATGCTGGGATGAGGTGACTCTGCCTGCCATTCCAGCAGCTGTCAAGCTGAGGCAGAGGGATTTCCCTGAGTCCTTGGCCGGCTAGGGTACAGTGTGTCAGGACAGTGGGACCCAAGTGTCTGCACTTGATCACATTAAGTACATACATTAGCCACCTGGGACCCAAGAGGCTGAGGTAGGATGGCTGGGAGTTCAGGGCGTCAGCCTGGGCCAGAGCCATCCCCAACCAGGGCCATGGGGTTGGCTCAGTGGCTAAAGGTGCCTGCAGCAGGCCGGACAACCTGAAATGCCATGCAGAGTCAGTCACACGGTGGAAGAGAGCCAACTGCCAGCTGTCCTCAGACCTCCACAGACACACAGACACTCATATGCAAATAGACAGAAATATACACAAACAGACACACCCAGACTCACATTCAGACAGACACACACTAACACGTAGAACAAAGCCGGGAATTTCAGGCTGAGGTGAAGTGGATCAGTGTATTGGAACACTTGGGAAGCTGAGGCAGGGGACTGAAGTTGAGTTCATGGTTAACCGAGGCCACAGGATGAGTTCCTACCTTAAAACAACCCAAAACACTTAAAAAGCTCAGTTGTTCACTGAGATCAACCCCACAACAGCTGGAGCCCTGGCCGGCTGGAGTCCGCACAGCCCATCCACAGCTACCCTTCGGAAAGGGCAGGAAGTCAGGTTTTGGGCTTCTGCGCCACCCTGTGAAACTGACAGCAACTTCTGGGTACTGTCCCTGGGACCCTCCTCTGCCCTCCCCCATTCTGCCCGGCACCTGCCAAGGAGGAGCCCTGTCGGAGCAGCCCTGGCTGACGCCCAGCAACGAGGGGCGTGGCCACGGATGGGCGTGTCGGGGCGGGCCTCCAACGAGGGCGTGGGCTTGGGAGGCCCGGCCCATCACGCCACAGAAATGGCTGAGGGGGACAGACACACGGATAAGAGCGGGTCTAGGATATACTGGGAAGAGAGAGCTAAACAGAGAAGTAGAAAGAGGAGAGCAAGAGAGAGGGAGGAGAGAGAGAGGAGAAGCAGACAGAGGAGAAAAGGGGGCAGAGAGAGGCAGACCAACAGATCGAGACTGCCCCGCACTCCTCGGCGGGCGTGTGACCCGGCAAGGCCGCGTTCAGCCCCACCCCCATGACGTCAACCCACAGTGCAGCGCGTTGTTGTGCCATGTAGCGAGCGTCGCCCCTGGCAACAGCGGCCGCAGCCACCACCAAGCGAGGGCGTCCAGACCCCGCCCTTTTATGCAAATCTACGACGTCACCTCGGACCAATGGGGAGCGGGGGCGGTGAGCTCATCGCGGGGGCCGAGGCTATAAGGGTGCGCGCGGGCGGCGCGGGACAGAGCGGCCGGCGGCGGAGCCGGGCAGTACGGGCAGCGGACTGGGGGGCGCACGGGCCCCCCCGGGGAGGCCGCGGCCACTCCCCCCGCCCCGGGCCCGAGCGCGGCGGGGGAGGCGGGGATGGAAACGCCCTTCTACGGCGAGGAGGCGCTGAGCGGCCTGGCTGCGGGTTCGTCGAGCGTCGCCGGCGCTTCTGGGCCCCCCGGCGGCGGAGGCTTCGCGCCCTCGGGCCGCGCGTTTCCCGGGGCGCCCCCGACGAGCAGCATGCTGAAGAAAGACGCGCTGACGCTCAGCCTGGCGGAGCAGGGAGCGGCGGGATTGAAGCCCGGCTCAGCCACTGCACCTTCCGCGCTGCGCCCCGACGGCGCCCCCGACGGGCTGCTGGCTTCGCCGGATCTTGGGCTGCTCAAACTCGCGTCGCCGGAGCTGGAAAGGCTGATCATCCAGTCCAACGGGCTGGTGACCACCACCCCGACCAGTACGCAGTTCCTCTACCCGAAGGTGGCGGCCAGCGAAGAGCAGGAGTTCGCCGAGGGTTTCGTCAAGGCGCTGGAGGACCTGCACAAGCAGAGCCAGCTGGGCGCGGCCACCGCGGCCACCTCAGGGGCCCCCGCGCCCCCCGCGCCCGGAGACCTGGCGGCCACCCCCGGGGCCACCGAGACCCCGGTCTACGCCAACCTGAGCAGCTTCGCGGGTGGCGCCGGGCCCCCCGGGGGCGCGGCCACCGTGGCCTTCGCCGCGGAGCCAGTGCCCTTCCCGCCGCCCCCGGGCGCGCTCGGGCCGCCGCCACCTCCTCATCCGCCGCGCCTGGCCGCGCTCAAGGACGAGCCGCAGACCGTGCCGGACGTGCCGAGCTTCGGCGATAGCCCTCCGCTGTCGCCCATCGACATGGACACGCAGGAACGCATCAAGGCGGAGCGCAAGAGGCTGCGCAACCGCATAGCCGCTTCCAAGTGCCGCAAGCGCAAGCTGGAGCGGATCTCGCGCCTGGAGGAGAAAGTCAAGACCCTCAAAAGCCAGAACACCGAGCTGGCGTCCACCGCCAGCCTGCTGCGCGAGCAGGTGGCGCAGCTCAAACAGAAAGTCCTCAGCCACGTCAACAGCGGCTGCCAGCTGCTGCCCCAGCACCAGGTCCCCGCGTACTGAGCCCGAGCGCGGGGCGCATGCGCGGACTCGCTGCGGTGGGGGGGCGCCCCGGACTCTTTTGAGACTCGGTGCCCCCAGACTCGACAAGCCGGACCCCCCTTAACTCCGGGTGGGGACCCCGAGCGCACGACCCCCGCCCTCGCGCCGCCCCTGTTCCTTTAGCCCCGCGCGTGTTGCACAAGCCCGCCCCGGCAGCCCCTTTGTATGGCCGAGGAGGGACTTCAGGGGCGCGCAGCCTCACGCTCTGCCTTTTTTCTCTTTTCTTTTTCTTTCTTTCTTTCTTTCTTTTTTTTTTTTTTTTTTTTTTTTTGCCTTTTGGAAGAGAGAACGGGAGTGTCCGATTCCGCCCTATTTATGTTTCTACTCGGGAACAAACGTTGGTTGCGTGTTGCGTGTGTGTTTCCTTGTGTTGGTTTTTTAAAGAAACGGGAAGAAGAAAAAACTCCTCCTCTTCCCCTCCCCCTCCTCTCGCTCTCCCGACACCATCCCTCTCTTTTTGTTTGGTTTTGTTTTGCTATGAGTCCACATTCCTGTTCCGTAATCCTTGGTTCGCCGGTTTTGTGTTTTCAGTAAAGTCTTCGTTACGCCAGCTTGGCTGTCCGCCTCCTTCTTACCCCGCCGGGGCCGGGGTGGGCGGGGCCTGGCCCGCTCCCATCCCCCTCCCTCTTCTGGCCCCTTCCATCCCCCACCCCCTTCCAGGCGGGGAGGGAACGCGGCGTGGGCGCGGGCGGGGACTTCACATCTGCGCAGCGAGCGCCACCTAGGCGCACGCCGTCCGCTCTGGTCCAGGTAGCACCCGGACTCTGGGCTCCTGCCTAACCTGTGCGACTTTACTGCTGTGTCCTTTCTGGAAGAAGGGTGACGAAAGAGGGGAAAGGAGCGCGCGCACGCACGCGCACCCAACCCGTGGGGCCTCGGTCTTCCAGAGTTCGGTCTCCATCAGGGCGTCATCCTTACAGAATGGTGCTGGCCTCAATAGATTTTATTTGCCTTTGTTGGTTTCAAAGGGTGCCTCAGGCCTAGAGCCTTCTCTCCAAGACCATGAAGAAAGAGGTGGCCTAGAGTCGTGTAGGTGGATAACTGACCGGCACTTCCCTAGCACCTGCTCTGCCATTTTGAGGAAACTTAATTTTCAGCAACTTGAGTCTGAATACCAATTTTTTTTTTTTTTTTTTTTGAGACTGGATCACTCCATATAGCCCTGATTATTCTGGAACTTGCTACGTAGTGCAGGCTGGCCTCACAGAGATCCCCCTGCCTCTGCCTCCCGAGTGCCTTGCCACCATGTCCACAGCCTTCGCGTGTGTGCTTTCAGTGATGGAGATGGAGGCCCGGCCTTAGAGCAGGTCAGGCAGGCCCTCAACTCAGCCCCAGCCCCAGCCCCAGCCCCAGCCTCTCCCCCAGCAGGGACACTGCCCCCAGGTCTGTGCCCCCCACCAGTGTATGCACTTTGCTGTTAGCTCTGGCCACTGCTGTTGAGACCCTGGGTCTTGGAGTTAAGATTCTGCTTAGGGTGTCACCATGGGTGCTAAGGTCACATGGTAAGTGGCCACGGAAGTCTGTGCTTTCTCTCTTCGTGTCCTTGCTCCTGACTTGCCCCCCACCCTGAAGGGAACTGTTTTTAAAGCTGGGTGGTTCCAGCATCATCCCAGTATTTGGGAGAGAAACAGGAGGTCCCTTCGTCCTGGACCCTGTCTAGGAAAACAAAGGCCAGAAATGAAAAAGGAGCTTGAGCATAAGTTTTTTTTGGGTGCTGGGATGACAAGCCAGTTTATACAGTGGGAGGCTGGAGCAGGCCATCTCCTCAGTGGCAGGCGCTGAGTCCCAGCTTGGTACCGTTGTGTAGCTTCAGCAGCCACGCTCTAATTCTGAGGGCTCTGAAATGGGACTGGCCCAGCCTTGGCTCCTTCTTCCCCAGTACAGAGTAGCCACCCAGGGAGGCCTGGAGATAGGTCGCACACTGAGCAGAGCAGTAGGAATCTGAACTCTGACTTCTCCCTCGGCCTTTGGAATTCTGGGATGCAGGGCACCAGTGTCTGCACTGGTCTCCTACTTTGTGGTGTTGGATGGAATCTGGGTCTTTATAAAGATTTCTGTTGTTTTTTTGAGATGAGGAGGGGGTCTCACTATATAGCCCAGGCTGGCTTTGAACTCAGTTCTGCCCGCCCCTGGGACGAAGGAAGTATGCCACCAATGAAGTTTTGTTGACGCTGGGAGTGTGTGTAGTTAACTGAAGTAAGAGCAAGGCTGGACACTGTGATCCTGTGTGTGTCTCAAGCACTTGAAATGCAGAGGCAGAACATCATGAGTTCCAGGCTAGCCTTGGCTACATGAGGAGCCTGTCTCAAAGCACCAAGGACTCAGTGACAGAGCATGTGCCTAGGGTGCCCGGGCTCTGGGTTCTGTTTCCTTGTAGTGAGGGGTTGCCTCTGCAGTTCAGTATATCCAGGCTCCCAAGGAGCTCACCAGAAGTGCTCAGAACAGCTAACGGACAGGGGGCAGGAAAAGCTACAGGGTTGTGTGGTCAGAACATCTAAAGGACAGAACAGCTGAAGGACAGGGGGCAGGAAAAGCTACAGGGTCGTGTGGTCTCCTGCATAGAGGTCTTGCTCTGGCAGCCTCTTGGACAGGCTAAGTGGTTCTGGCTTGAGCATGCTGTGCACAGGCCAAAGTGTGTGTCAGCCTTGGCCAGAGCAGCTGTGACTCATGTTGGGAGCTAGCCCAGCCTGGGGGAGTGACCTGGAACACTGGCCTCACTCCACCCACCCCTCCCAGGACTGGGGCTCACAGTCCATGCTCCCTTTCTTTTCTTTTTCTACACAGGGTCTTCATATTAGCCCAGGCTGTCCTGGTACTGTAGCATCCTCCTAGAAAGTCTGGCTGCTTGCCCACGGGGGCCATATGAGGCCCGCCAGGGGTCTCAGGACATCGTGTGATCTCAGCAGATGCCCCAGGTGGTGACAGACCCCCCTCCAGACACACTGAGGGGAGAGGTGGGGAGTCACCTCCATACGCAGGGCCCTAATTTTCACTTCATGACAGTCAGTCCTCTTGTCCTTTCAGGGGCTCCAGATCCATGTTCTAGAACCTTCTCCCTTACCCTCTGCTGGGGATTGGTCAGAATTCATCTGTGAGTCATAAAGACTTTTATGTAGCAGGGTCCCAGGCAAGCCATCGGGACTGGTGGCTTCAGCTCTGCGGACAGGTGAGTGGGGTGTGGGTGCCACTCCTGTCTGCCACCCAGCTCCTGCCAAGGGTGTCTGCGTCCTCTGGGCTATGGTAGCTCAGGACAGGATTTGGGGTCTCCAGGCCTTGGTACGCTGTCCCACTGAGCCTGAATTTTCTTCTCCAGCGCCAAGGTGAAGCGGCTTGCTCTTCCTAACTAACAGGGGGCACAAGGTCTCCGAGATATGCTCACAACTGCCCTTAGCCTGCCTGGCACCCCTCCATTTTCTCTCCCTGCACCACAATCCTACTTCTCTCTTGCCTTCTTCTGCACTCTCACCGGGTCTTATATCCCCGATGGATTTTTTAAAGTAGGTTTTCTGTAGCCTGAAACTACGTAGGCAGGGCTGGCCGTGAGTCTGGGTCCTGCTGCCCCCGCCTCCTGTGTGCCGGCCTGGCGTGTGCGTCACCACATCTGGCTTCATAGCCCAGGCTGCCCTGGAACTCACGACAATCCTCCTGTCTCAGATAACAACATGCCTGACTAAACAGGGTGCTAGACATGGAGCCCTGAACCTCTCACACGCTGAGGCTCTGTAACCTGAGCCACAGCTCCCTCCCCAGCCTGCTCCCCAGCTCCCAGTATCTGCGCCCCCTTCCCCGTGGCATGAGCATCAACATCTGTGATGACAACTCCTGATTGTGAGCCTGCTGATAGCCCTCCAGCATGTGTCTCACAGGTGGCCCCACACAGGGGAATGTTCCGGGGTTTAGTAAAGAGGGTAGTTTGGGTGCAGTGCACAGGATGGGTGCTCCAGTGCTGGCCCCATGCTGGCTTGGTGCTGAAGCCAGGGGTGTCTTCAAGGCCTGGGGGACACGGTGGCCATTCCAGGACTGAAGGCACCCCTGGGACCTGTCCTGAAGGTGGGGGCTGGTGGTCACCCTTGCCGCCTGGACTCGGCGAGCCAGGTTCTGCTGTGGAGCCTGTAGTGGCTGTGGACAGGTAGCTGCTCTTTGACTTGGTTTCTTTTCGTTGGTTTTCTGTAGACAGAGTGCCACTATGCAGCCCAGGCTGGCCTCAGACTCACAGAGACCTGCCTGCCACCACACACCCAGTGTTGGTTATGTGTTCGCAGGGTGAGATCAGGTGCTGGTGGAGCCAGCCTGGGACCGAATTCTGTTCCTAAGCTGTTTGCCCTAATGGTCACCAAGAGGCCTTTGAAAGGCCCCTGTACAGCTGGTGTGGTGGTGTACCGGGAACCAAGAGGGCTCTCACAGAGGATTTCTTGTTTCTGGCACCCACAGCAGGTGGCTCACAGCTCCAGGAGCCGTCTGCAGTCCTCCAGGAAGCCTGCACAGAGTGTCATCCACTCAGTGCTTCTGTGCTGGGGGGAACATGTCCAAAAGCAACTGGGGAAGGAAATGGTCTCATGCCTGCATCACTTCCTGTTGAGGACAGGAGCTCAACAGGAGGCAGGGCAGGAACCTGGAGCAGGCACTGCTGCAGAGGCCATGGAGGTGCTGCTTACCAGCCTGCTCCTCATGGCTTGCTCAGCCTGCTTCCTTCCTTCCTCTCTCTCTCTCTCTCTCTCTCTCTCTTTCTTTTTTTCCCCTCTAGACAGGGTTTCTCTGTGTAGGCCTGGCTGTCCTGGAACTCACTCTGTCGACCAGGCTAGCCTCAAACTCAGAGATCCTCCTACCTCTGCCTCCTGAGTGCTGGCATCACAGGCGTGTGCCACCACTGCCAGCCTAGAGCCCAGTCTCATGGGGACGTTTCTCAGTCGAGGTCCCCTCCTCTCCGATGACTCTAGCTTGTGTCAAGCTGACATAACACTAGCCAGGACACACATATATATAACACTAAAAATAATTTTTAATGAAATCAAATGATAAAACAGGTTGGAGAAATGGCTCGGCAGGGCAGTTAAAAGCACTGGCTATTCGTCCAGAGAAGCCCAGCTGGATTCCCAGCGCTCACGTGGGCACTCACAACCGACTCTAACTCCTGCCCTCTTCTGGCCTCCACAGGTACTACATCACACACCCTGGGAAAATACTCATACACATGAGATAACCTGAAAAAGCTAAAAACATAAAGGGTAGCATGATAGAGAGGGCTCCGCAGTCATGAAGAGCAGCTCAGATCACAGCACCCACAAAACAACCTGAGTGATTGCACAGGCCTCTGACCACAGCAGTCACACACGCCACACATGTGCGCTCACAGGTACACATGTAAAAACAGCCAGACAAGGTGGTGCCCACCTTAAGCCCAGCGCTCAAGAGGCAGAGGCAGGAAGATCTCTGTGAGTTCGAGGCTAGCCTGGTCCACATAGTGAGTTCTAGGCCAGCCAGGGCTACAGAGAGAAACTCTGTCTCATAAAGAAAAATGAATCAAACCCTTCCAATTGTGATTGTGAATTA